GCTTCCTGGGGCCTCCTGGAGCCTCTTGGGACATCCTGTGGCCTCTTGAGTCTTTCTGTGGCCTCCTGATGCCTCCTGGGACCTCATGTGGTCTCCTGGGGCCTCCTGGAGCCTGTTGGAGCCTCCTGTGGCATCCTGAGAAGAATCTGCGCCCACGAGCCTGGCCACCAAAACAAGCAAACCGATCGAGACATCCTCAAAATCTGGCCCACCTGGGGGGTGAAAATGAGCGCCTCGCTCGAGACATCCTCCAAATCTGCTCCGAAAGCGAAGGATGTTGGGCACAGAAACAGGCAAACCGCCTGAGACATCCCCACAAAATGGCCGCGAACGAGCCCGTGCAACCACCCCTGGCGGCTCCCCTTAGGGGTGCTGAAATGAGCGCCTCGCTCGAGACATCCTCCAAATCTGCTCCGAAAGCGAAGGATGTTGGGCACAGAAACAGGCAAACCGCCTGAGACATCCCCACAAAATGGCCGCGAACGAGCCCGTGCAACCACCCCTGGCGGCTCCCCTTAGGGGTGCTGAAATGAGCGCCTCGCTCGAGACATCCTCCAAATCTGCTCCGAAAGCGAAGGATGTTGGCAAGACAAACAAGCAAACCGCCTGAGACATCCCCACAAAACGGCCGCGAACGGGACCGTGCAACACCCCTCGGCGGCTCCCCTTAGGGCTGCTGAAATGAGCGCCTCGCTCGAGACATCCTCCAAATCTGCTCTCCAAGCGAAGGATGTTGGCAAGACAAACAGGCAAACCGCCTGAGACATCCCCACAAAACGGCCGCGAACGGGACCGTGCAACACCCCTCGGCGGCTCCCCTTAGGGCTGCTGAAATGAGCGCCTCGCTCGAGACATCCTCCAAATCTGCTCTCCAAGCGAAGGATGTTGGCAAGACAAACAGGCAAACCGCCTGAGACATCCCCACAAAACGGCCGCGAACGGGACCGTGCAACACCCCTCGGCGGCTCCCCTTAGGGGTGCTGAAATGAGCGCCTCGCTCGAGACATCCTCCAAATCTGCTCTCCAAGCGAAGGATGTTGGCAAGACAACAGGCAAACCGCCTGAGACATCCCCACAAAATGGCCGCGAACGGGAACCGTGCAACACCCCTCGGCGGCTCCCCTTAGGGCTGCTGAAATGAGCGCCTCGCTCGAGACATCCTCCAAATCTGCTCTCCAAGCGAAGGATGTTGGCAAGACAAACAGGCAAACCGCCTGAGACATCCCCACAAAACGGCCGCGAACGGGACCGTGCAACACCCCTCGGCGGCTCCCCTTAGGGGTGCTGAAACCAGCGCCCCGCCTGAGACATCCTCGCAATCTGCTGTTTATCGAATAAGTCAGACAATGAGAAGGTCTGAGTATGAGTAATTCTGAGTATGAGTAAGTCTGTGTATGAGGAACTCTAAGTAAAAGGAGGAGGAGAAGGAGGAAGTCTGAGTATGAGTAAGTCTGAGTATGAGTAGGTCTGGGTATGAGTAGGTCTGAGTATGAGTAAGTTAATGTGATCAGGTCTGAGTATGAGTGAGTCTGTGTATGAGTAAGTCTGTGTATGAGTAAGTCTGTGTATGAGTGAATCTGAGTATGAGTGAGTCTAAGTAGGAGGAGACGAGAAGAGGGGAGAAGGAGAATGAGGAGTAGGAGGCGTCCAAGTAATAACAAGAACCCCATCTTAGGATATGGGGAACTAGCAAACCGATCGAGACATCCTCAAAATCTGGCCCACCTGGGGGGTGCTGAAATGAGCGCCTCGCTCGAGACATCCTCCAAATCTGCTCCGAAAGCGAAGGATGTTGGGCACAGAAACAGGCAAACCGCCTGAGACATCCCCACAAAATGGCCGCGAACGAGCCCGTGCAACCACCCCTGGCGGCTCCCCTTAGGGGTGCTGAAATGAGCGCCTCGCTCGAGACATCCTCCAAATCTGCTCCGAAAGCGAAGGATGTTGGGCCCAGAAACAGGCAAACCGCCTGAGACATCCCCACAAAATGGCCGCGAACGAGCCCGTGCAACCACCCCTGGCGGCTCCCCTTAGGGGTGCTGAAATGAGCGCCTCGCTCGAGACATCCTCCAAATCTGCTCCGAAAGCGAAGGATGTTGGGCACAGAAACAGGCAAACCGCCTGAGACATCCCCACAAAATGGCCGCGAACGAGCCCGTGCAACCACCCCTGGCGGCTCCCCTTAGGGGTGCTGAAATGAGCGCCTCGCTCGAGACATCCTCCAAATCTGCTCCGAAAGCGAAGGATGTTGGGCCCAGAAACAAGCAAACCGCCTGAGACATCCCCACAAAATGGCCGCGAACGAGCCCGTGCAACCACCCCTGGCGGCTCCCCTTAGGGGTGCTGAGTATGAGTAAGTCTGTGTATGAGTAAGTCTGTGTATGTGTACGTCTGGGTATGACTAATACTGTGTATGAGTAAGTCTGTGTATGAGTAAGTCTGTATATGAGTATGTCTGAGTGTGAGTAAGTCTGAGTATGAGTAGGTCTGAGTATGAGTAAGTCTGAGTATGAGTAAGTCTGTGTATGAGCAAGTCTGAGTATGTCCGACAGGAGGGGAGGAGAAAAGAGGAGGAGGAAGGAGGAGGAGTAGGAGGCGTCCAAGTAATTATTCACTGCGTGGAGCTCCCCATATGTGCATCTACTCGCATGGACCTGTCCGCCGTGAATGTCTAGGCGCAAGAGCTTTCGAATATTAACGGGCTTCAGTTGTGACGGTCTGGACATCAATCTAACTGCGAATGAATTGGAGTGTGAATGAGCCTCAGTAGTACGAGCGCGTCTCTGTGCATGAGCCTGGGGCCTCCTGGGGCCTCCTGAAACCTACTGGGGCTTCCTGGGGTCTCCAGGAGCCTCTTGGGACCTCCTGGGACCTCCTAGGAAGGTTTCGTGCCCCAGGGGAGGCGCAATATATAGCAACAGACGTACATAAAACATTGCGGATTAGAGCCACAGGAGAAGGGCAATCTATAGGAACACGCGTAAAACACAAAAAAAAATCGTGCCCCAGGAGAGGCCCAATACATAGGAGCATGAGTAAAACATTTAGGATTGTGTACACAGGAGAAGGACCATCTATAGAAACATACGTAGAACATCAAAGAATCGTGCTCCAGGTGAGGCCCAATCGATAGGAGCATACGTAAAACACATGGGATTGGAGCCACTCCTGTTGCCTTCTGAGGCCTCCTGCTCCTGGGGCCTCTCGGGGCCTCCTGTTGCCTTCCGAGGCCTCCTGGCGCTTCCTGTTGTCTCCTGGGGTCTCCTGTGGTTTCCTGAGGCCTTCTGGAGCTTCCTGGGGCCTCCTGGAGCCTCTTGGGACATCCTGTGGCCTCTTGAGTCTTTCTGTGGCCTCCTGATGCCTCCTGGGACCTCATGTGGTCTCCTGGGGCCTCCTGGAGCCTGTTGGAGCCTCCTGTGGCATCCTGAGAAGAATCTGCGCCCACGAGCCTGGCCACCAAAACAAGCAAACCGATCGAGACATCCTCAAAATCTGGCCCACCTGGGGGGTGGAAATGAGCGCCTCGCTCGAGACATCCTCCAAATCTGCTCCGAAAGCGAAGGATGTTGGGCACAGAAACAGGCAAACCGCCTGAGACATCCCCACAAAATGGCCGCGAACGAGCCCGTGCAACCACCCCTGGCGGCTCCCCTTAGGGGTGCTGAAATGAGCGCCTCGCTCGAGACATCCTCCAAATCTGCTCCGAAAGCGAAGGATGTTGGGCACAGAAACAGGCAAACCGCCTGAGACATCCCCACAAAATGGCCGCGAACGAGCCCGTGCAACCACCCCTGGCGGCTCCCCTTACTCTGAGTACCTCAATAGTTCTGGGGTGCGCAATAGTCCGGGGGCGGCCCCTGTAGTCCGGGGGTTGGGCCCCTGTAGTCCGGGGTGGGTTTTTTGGGGGCCCTTGTAGTCCGGGGGGGGGCCCTTGTAGTCTGGGGGGGGGGCCCTTGAAGTCCGGGGGGCCCCTGTAGCCCGCCCCCTTTCCCCCTCCCGCCCCCTTTCGCTTTTCAAGTTTTGTTTCTCGTTTCCTGTCCCTTGTCAAGTTTTTGTTCCTTGCTTCCGGGTCATTGTAGTCCGGGGGTGGGTTCCTGTAGTCCGGGGGGGGGCCCCTTGTAGTCCGGGGGGGGGTCCTGGTAGTCCGGGGGGGGGTCCCTGTAGTCCGGGGGGGGGGCCCTTGTAGTCCGGGGGAGGGGCCCTTGAAAGCCGGGGGGCCCCTGTAGTCCGGGGGACCAGAACTATTGAGGTACTCAGAGTAGGGGTGCTGAAATGAGCGCCTCGCTCGAGACATCCTCCAAATCTGCTCCGAAAGCGAAGGATGTTGGGCACAGAAACAGGCAAACCGCCTGAGACATCCCCACAAAATGGCCGCGAACGAGCCCGTGCAACCACCCCTGGCGGCTCCCCTTAGGGGTGCTGAGTATGAGTAAGTCTGTGTATGAGTAAGTCTGTGTGTGTGTACGTCTGGGTATGACTAATACTGTGTATGAGTAAGTCTGTGTATGAGTAAGTCTGTATATGAGTATGTCTGAGTGTGAGTAAGTCTGAGTATGAGTAGGTCTGAGTATGAGTAAGTCTGAGTATGAGTAAGTCTGTGTATGAGCAAGTCTGAGTATGTCCGACAGGAGGGGAGGAGAAAAGAGGAGGAGGAAGGAGGAGGAGTAGGAGGCGTCCAAGTAATAACAAGAACCTCATCTTAGGATATGGGGAATAACAAGAACCCCATCTTAGGATATGGGGAAATATCCCCACCAGCCCATCCAGCAACGATGCCCAGGCGAGTTGAGGTGTTGTTGTGAGAGGTTCTAGGAGGTCTCTTGTAGCCATCTTGGGGCTCTCTTGGGGTCCTGTTGGGGTCCTTTTGGGGTGCTCTTGGGACCCTCTTGGGGCTCTCTTGGGGCCCTCGTGGAGCTCTTTTGGGGCAATCTTGGGGCTCTCCTGGGGCTCTTTATGGGGGCCAGAGAGGTCTCTTGCAGGGTTCTCGCTCCATTGTGGTC